AGGTCTGTGGCCCAATAATTTCTTATATTGAATGGGAATTTCAAACACCCCATTGATCGTGATATTACTAATCAATAAATATGGCCTAAAAGAAGAAGAATATAATTATAATAATAATAAAGACACCTTCGTAACTAAACTATTGCTTCGCCTTGATTGTCCTGCTCGTGTTTTTCTTGCATATGGTTGGCAAAAAAATAAAAAACAATTTTATGAAATGAAGTCGCAGTTTCATAAAAAGGGTGGTACGACAGAGCTAGAAAGGATGGAGGGAAATTACGTTCACACTTCACACTACTGTGCCACACGGATTCTTTCGCATTAACCGTTTTCCGAGTCAACAGTCAGCACGGTAGTTATGACTTGTTCTCCCAGTCTATGCTCCACTGTGTTTGTCTTCGTCAAACGCCATTTTGCCACGTGGACAAAACGCTCCTCGGAACCGCCGCCTCCCTGTACCTCTGTGTCTTCACTCCAGCTGTCTCAGCTCTCGTCTCTCATCTTCTTCAAAGGCCCAACCTTTATAAAACAATTCTCAGTCACTTTCACTCCGGCAAAAGCAACAATGTAAAATAAATTTATTTATTTATCTATTTTCTTTTTGAGAGAAAAAAACTCCCCGCGTAGACCTTTGAACCTCCAACCGTGGAATTCCAAACAGCGTAGACTTCCCCAATGGGGTCATCTTCTCCTCCTCCTTTTTATTTCTGTCGCTGCAAATCCAGAAACCTCAATAGAGCGACGCCTAAGCTAAGAACTAACAATGGGTTTCGCTAGTAATAATGCCGGATTAGAGCCTCACTTGACGGCGGAAAAAGCCGTCTCCGTCATTGGTCTCGGTTTTGATCTATGCAAAGGAATACGATTTTCGGCTTGCATGAAGGGTCCTTCTGGCTCTAGTTTGATAACGTTCGATTCGAATCAGACAAGGGACCTCGTTTTCCCAGGTGGGATTGTCGTCCCTAACGTGTCAGCTTCCATCAGGTGCGACAAAGGAGAGCGCACTAGGTTTCAATCCGACGTGCTGAAGTTTAATCCGGTGATTGTTAACTTTTTTCGTCTCTTGCTAATGATTATGTCCGGTTAAGTGGTTTAGCTGTAGCTCCCTCTTAGCAGCACTTAGTTCTCTTTATTTGGATAATTTGAAACAGTTATTAGTACTGTTGATCATGTCATGGGGTCGCTGTCTTTGAGAGATTGAGAATAAAATCAAGAAGCATTATCTGGAAGATTAGATGAGATATCGTAGAATTAAGTGAATTTGTGATATTGCAGATGTCGGAGCTATTCAATAAAGAGCTGGGCTTATCGGGAAAGGTTCCATCTGGACAATTCAATCAGATGTTTGACATGAAAAATGGCTGGCCAAAGGATGCGGCTTCCACAAAAAGCCTGGCTTTAGATGGTTGGTTCATAACATTGTATAACATTGAGTTAAGCAGATCCAATATTACTCTTTCAGAAGAATTGATAAGAGAAGTGCCTTCTTCGTGGAACCCCTCTGCCCTTGCTGAGTAAGCCTCTTTGTTCTTGGTGTTGACTTGGTTTTTTGTCTTCCCCGCCAATCTTCTTCGTGATGTTGTGGTGATGTTTTTTGGATTCTTAATTTTGGATGAGCACTGAACTGTTTTGGTGATTCTTCAGGTTTATTGCCAATTATGGGACTCATGTTGTTGTTGGGGTGAAGATGGGTGGTAAGGATGTGATTCATATCAAGCAGTCCAAAAAGTCAGATCTTGAGCCCAACGACGTGCAGAAATTGTTAAAGCAATTAGCTGACGAGAGGTTTTCTGGTAATTCAAACCAAACTTTCAATGTCAATGCCGCCGAAATATCAGGAAAACTCAAGGTGCAGATTCATCATACTGCTTAATTTCTAATAAAGGGGACACCGCATCTTGCAATTTTGCTAAATGTTCCCTTTTCTTTTTCCCTTTATGCAGGACGATCATGCTAAGTCGTGGGGGTTTCGCAAATCTTTCCCTTTTAGTGGCAGACCAATTGTGAAAAGCCATTCCAAGAACGATGTTAGTATCTCTCTCAAATTTCATTAACTGAGCAATATCTGATCAACTTGCATGTGACAGATTTGGATAGGACTTGACTTAACAAATTCCTATAATTTGTACAGGAGATTCAAAGCATTACCGTTCGAAAGGGAGGAATTGATGCTGGCCAATCTTTCAACGAGTGGCTCTCAACCATATCACAGTCTCCTGATGTGATATCGATGTCATTTGTACCTATTACTTCCCTGCTAAGCAGTTCTGTTCCAGGCAGTATTTTTCTGAGTCATGCGGTGAACTTATACCTTAGATGTGAGTTGACTAATCCCTCTGTGATGATACGTTTTGGTCTATAAACAATGCTTTGGGATGATCCTATAAACAATGCGTGAATTTTGCAGATAAACCTCCAATTGAAGAGCTTCATCAGTTTCTGGAATTCCAGTTGCCTCGGTTATGGGCTCCCATGTATGGTGATCTGCCTCTCGGATTTGGTCATATACAGAGAAGGAACATGTCTCCATCACTTCAGTTCACTCTCATGGGACCCAAGCTTTTTGTTAATACTGCCAAGGTAATTAAGTTAGAGTGATGAAATTACAAAACACGGAAATTTCTGTGAGGTCATCCATTAATTAGCTATTTACAATTTTGCAGGTTGACACTGGAAATAGGCCTGTAACTGGTATTCGCTTGTACTTAGAAGGTAGAAAAAACGACCACCTAGCCATCCATCTTCAGCATCTTTCAGAGATTCCCAGCATCCTCGACATCTCGTACGACCATAGCTATAATCCTACAGATGAATCCGTGGACAAAGGGTACTATGAACCTGTGAAATGGAACATGTTCTCTCACGTATGTGTAGCACCAGTTGAGTACAACCCCTCCCGACTTGATGAGTCCATCGGTATAGTCACTAGGGCATGGTTCGAGGTAAAGCTCGTAGGTATGAAGAAGGTTCTCTTCCTCAGACTTGGGTACTCCTCTGTAGCATCGGCCAGAATTCGCCGATCAGAGTGGGCCGGAGCTTCAACAATGTCTCGAAAATCGGGGTTTTTCTCAGCGTTGATGAGCACGAGGTTGAGCAAGGAGTTGTTGCAGAACACGCCGGAGAAGTCAACAAAGGTGAATATAACTCGGCCGTGTATGAAGATGGACCGCCGGTGCCGACGAGGGCTCAGAAGATGCTGAACTATGTGGACACGAAAGAGATGGTGAGGGGCCCGGAGGATGTACCGGGGTATTGGGTGGTCACCGGAGCAAAGCTCTGCGTGGAGGATAGCAGAATCTCAGTGAAGGCCAAGTTTTCGTTGCTGACTATAATGTCAGAGGAATCTCTGCCATTCATGAACATGAAGGACTAGGAAAATGATGATGTTGGGAAAAAGGAGTGACATTTCAGAATGTAGTGTTGAGTTGATGACGATATTATAGTATGAGTTGTTTGATAATTGTAAATATTATTCATTCAAATTCTTTTTTCATCATCTTTGTAGCGCAGGGCCAGCTACAGCATAGGTAGCTCGAAGTGGTTCTCTCACGAGAGGCAACCTAAGGATGGTGATCATTGACTTTGCGTCCTTAATACGAGTATTAATGTATTATAAACAAGACAGATAGCGAGGCATCTAAAAAAGTTGAATGGAATGTGTGTTCAGTTTGTTTTAATCCAGGTCTAAATCTCAAGTCTTCGCTGACTAGTTTGCTCATGGATTGCAAATGGAATGTGTTATTCTTTTTTCTTTTTTTTTCTGTGATGCAAATGGAATGTGTTATTCTCTTCTCATCAAGTAAGGGTTTTTTTTTTTGTTTTTATTTACAAAATGTCAGTCTTTGATTATTATTAACTCCATTTTTCTTATTTATCTTTCTTTCCTCCACTGAGCAATAAAGATGGACGTCTATTTTTTTTGATAATGATTTTGCTACATTGGGGATTATCTATTTTGGATGTGGCAAATAAAAAAGCAAACTGAATTAAAAATATACTTTTACCTAATATTTTTAGGAAATGCCTTTTGAGAAATTTTCTTGTTGCTGAATTCATTGTTCAAACCGGAGTTTTATATCCATTATTTTAACTATATCTTACTGTTTGTCTACAAATACATGTGGCTTTTGACTTTCTTTGTTTAATTGCTATGCATGTGCCCCCCCTTTCTTTCAAAGCCTAAATTATTTGATCCCTTTAAGAATTAGTTTAATTGTCTTTAATATCTTCATTTTGTTTTCTCTCCGGAACATGATTATCGTCTTTTTTATACCATTCCTTCATTCCATTTGTTTGTTGGTTTTCGTTTATCATGACTTGAATTTTTAAATCAAGAAGCTTCAAATCTCATGCCGTAGGATATTAAATTTGATAGGTTGAGTGTGAAATGATCTGATTACTGTCAACAAAAGTGGTCACAGTCTTCGTTCAATCAGATTTATGGGAGAAAATTATACCAAAATTGAAGAGTTTATTTTTTATCTCATCAAATGTGAAAAGACCTGTACCTTTGATTAAGAACCCTATTAAACATTATTCCCCCTTGAATAGAGGAAAATGTATAAAATTAAAAATATTCGTAATTAAAAGGATTTATATATTATGAATGATTAATTATACAAATATAAACCTGCATATTATTAACATTAGTTGTTATTAAATATTAAAAAGCAAGTCAAAGCAATTTTGGACCCAACACCGGGAGATATTCAGTTAGTACTGATCCAACGTCAAAGCAATTGTTAAATGCAAAATGAATCATCAAGTATTGATTATTGAAGGAAGGCTGACATGGGCCGAATCCAAATATTTGGGCCTTAGAGCCCACGCACTAATGTGGATTCTGGACACTTCCTTCGAGGTCGGTGGACGCTGGCCTTGAACATTCCCAAACATTCTCGAATTCCCACAACTTCACCCGCAAGGGCTAGATGGCTCCTCCCATCAGTTTAAATACCCACCCTGTCCCTTCCTTTTGGCATCAAGGAAGAACACAACCGAAAGCATTTGCAAAACATTTACCTTACTTGCAATATTTCATCTTCGTTGTGTTTCTGGAAATTCGAAAATGTCGCTGATTCCCAGTTTCTTTGGAGGCCGAAGGAGCAACATCTTCGATCCCTTCTCTCTGGACGTTTGGGATCCTTTTAGGGATTTACCGTTCCCTTCTTCTCTCTCAACCACTTCTGGAGATAATTCTGCATTTGTGAGCACACGGGTGGATTGGAGGGAGACGCCAGAGGCGCATGTGTTCAAGGCGGATCTTCCGGGGCTGAAGAAGGATGAGGTGAAAGTTGAGGTGGAAGATGACAGGGTGCTTCAGATAAGCGGAGAGAGGAACGTGGAGAAAGAAGACAAGAACGACACATGGCACCGCGTGGAGCGCAGCAGCGGCAAATTCATGAGGAGGTTCAGGCTGCCGGAGAATGCTAAGATGGATCAGGTGAAGGCTTCCATGGAGAACGGTGTCCTCACTGTGACTGTTCCAAAGGCAGAGGTTAAGAAGCCTGATGTTAAAGCTATCCAGATTTCTTAAAAAGAATGCCATTCTCTGCTTTCTCTCTGTTTTATAGTCGAAAGTGTGTTGGGTTGGGTGGGAGTTTGAACTTATAAAGTGAAAAAGGGCATTTGTTTTGTGAAGCAGCGTGTTTCTGGGAGTTAGGACCTTTGGAATGGGAGTGAAACAACGGAAGACGATTCCGTGCGATAGTATGATGGCGTCTTGTAAACTTGATATTTGGCTTTTGGGAAGTTTAGTTTGTGAATAAAGTACAGGCTTATTTTGTCGTTGTAATTGTGCTTGGTTGTCGTAATATCATGTGAAGGGAGTTTGCTAAATTGAATTTTCATAAATGGGCATTGTTTTTTTGTTTTTGTTTTACATTTTTAATAATAATTGACAGACAGGTTGTGGTCATCATTCCTGAAATTTTAAAAGTATATTTTGAGGTTTTTTTTTCCTTAAAGAATGACAACTTTGAAGGAAGGAGCAGGTTAAAAAAATAAATAAATGTAAAAAATAAAACAAATTGAAATTTTATTATTAAAAATAAATTAAGTCTCTAGGGTGTTTTTAACAAATTAAATCTTTAATTAACTTTAATATTTAACGTCGGAGGTAGGGGTGGAAACAGGCCAGGCGGCCTGTCAGGTAGGGCTGCACATGGGCAGGGCTGGGCAGGGCAGGACCCTTGCCCGATGCCCAGCCCGAAGAATGAACGGGCTGGAAAATGCAGCCCGTTGCCCAGCCCTGCCCATGAAAAGCCCTAATAAATTTGGGTTGGGCAAATGCGGGCTGGGCAGGGCGGGCTTCTATGCCCAACAAGTCAATATACTATATTAATTAACTAATTATTTATATCCTTCTAAATAATCTAATGTAACTTTATTAAAATGGAAACTTAGCCTTAATTTTGTTATTACTAATTAATATACTATGAAACTACTTTTTGTAGTAGCTAAGAGGAGTGGACTATGACAAAAAATGTTGTTAGTACTCCCTCCGTTCCTTATTATAAGAGACATTTGATGCTTATGGCATGTTCTTATATATAAGAGACACTTAAAAGTTGTCTTTACTTTTTTGTGTTGATTTCCTATTTTACCCATATTTATTGTTTCCAACTCACACTCTCTCTTTCCTACTTCTCTTTCTTTTAATAATTTATCATTGTTCTCTCTCATGTTCTCTCTCCTTATTAATGAGGGCATTTTTGGAAAAAAAATTATACTTTTTACACATTGATTGTTCTTAACTAATTTTAACTGTTTTTTTGATCAACGTAATTCGGTTATTCGTCTCTTATAATAAGGAACGGAGGGAGTATATTTTATTAAACTAAATTATTTTTCTAGTTTCTAACTCTCAAAATCATTTAAAAATAAATAAGTATAATGAATACTGAATATTGATACAATAATGTGTTTGATTTAGGAAATAAATATGAGGAAAATAAAATATATATAAATAAAATTATATATATTTTTGCGGGAGGGCCAAATGGGCAGGGCAGCATACCGTGCCCGATGCCCAGCCCTGCCCAACAGTTTGCCCAGCCCGAACATGCCCAATAATTCTTTCGGGTCATTTTTTTTAGGACGGGCTGGGCATTTTTTTGCGGGCTTGGGCGGGCATAGCGGGCTACTGGGCTTCATGAACACCCCTACTGTCAGGGGCCTCTGGCCTGCCAGGCCACGCCTGGCCTGGCCTGTTTGAAGGCCTGTTTAACTAAATAGACCAGGCTTAGGCTTTTTAAAAAGCCTGTTAAGCCTGTTAGGCCGGCCTGGGCCTGTTAGGGATTTATGATTATAATATATGAAAAAATTAATTAATGCTATTATTGTTAATGTGCTCTTTTAATTTATTTTTTAATTTTAATATATAGTTAATAGCTTAATTTTTTCTTAGATTTTGAAGTCTAGATGACAAGTGAAGATAAAAATATAATTTAAAATAATAATATCAATAATAATGTGATTTTTAAATCTTAAAAATATAAAGAAAATAGGAAAGAAAAATTTTGTTCCAAGAATGATAAATTAACTAACTTACGTATTATGTTAATTTAAGTATGATACCCTCTTTATTCATTATAAAATTAGTATTTTTTCCTCTTTATTTATTTGTCTTAATTTTAATTTTTTGTGTGTATTTAAACGTAGTCTTATTCCAAATTTTAACATATAATTACAATTAGTTTTCAATAATATTCTTATAAATTATAATTAAGATTTTAAATAGTACTTATGATACTAAAATTTAAATAAAAGATAAGACTAAAAATTTAATTATTATGTACGTTTTTTTTAATCTTAGCTTTTTTTTAAAAAATAATAATTTAAATTTAAATTTTTTAAAAATACAGGCCTTTTAATAGGCTTCAGGCCAGGCCTTTATACAGGCCAGGCTCAAGCTGAAAAATAAACCTGTAACAGGCCACAGGCCAGGCTCAGGCCAATAGGCTTCAAAACAGACCTGGCCTGTTAAGAGCAAGGCCTGGCCTGGCCTGGTCTATTTCCACCCCTAGTCGGAAGTAGCACTTGGCACTCGCACCGGAAGCGATAAGATCCAAATATTAAAAAAAAAATTTGCCAACAAGATCCAAATATTAAAATACAAATTTAAACTAGCCTTCTATGAATAAAGTACGAACCGAGTTGCGTCACCTTGTTTCCTAGTTGTTTTTATTTTTTCCTGACCTTACTGCAGTGCGCCTCTCTCCTCCTCTGCTGCTATTTTCTCATTCCCCCTCCCATCAATAGCGTGCCAGTTTAGCCATCAAATATATTCAGCTCCTCCATGTGTAACTACAGCGTGTCAACCTCTTGTGAAATATCTCCTATTTTTTGTGGGCTGCTGCGTCATTGCTGTGGAAGTCTTGAAGCGTCACCCTGATGGCCTCAAGTGCCGCCATTTCCACTGTAGATCGACTCCAATGCCACCGCTGAAGTCAAAAGCAGACCCCTATTGCTTGAGTTAGAAACTTCCATAGAGGTTCTTTCAGAAACGCCGATCTCCAAATCCCAAGACCCAATCTTCTCGGCAGGAAGAAAAACACAAAGGCTCTAAGATGATAAACCCCAATTCAACGACCTGCAAGAGAGCAAAGTCTGAATGCCCATGGTACAACCTTCGCCTAAGAAATCCAAGTCAAAACAAGACAGACTTCCTAAAAAAAGTATTTGCAACGTCATACATTACCGAATCAAGCTATTGGGAAAGTGAAGAAGATTTAGATGGCGTTCATGGGGAATACACTAATATTATTTTAACATAGCTTCAACATGTATTTTCACAATAACAAAAGCCCGAATTTATAGACTTCAGGTTGTAAAAAAACAACAACCAAATTATTACAGCTTATATGTGTTATTTGCAAAAACTAGTGACATAAAATTAACATAAGACAATTGTTGACACTTGGCTTTTACAGAAGTTAAAAATATATGACATATGGAGGAGACTTGGTTTTTTGTAATTGAGTGGGACTTAGAGTGTCGGGAATTTTAAACTAGTCTGATTTATAATTAAATTTCTCATCGTTAGATATGTTGGAGCATTTCTATCAGATGCTCCCCCACTCTCGAGTTTCCTTTCCAAGGCGGTGGGCACGAGTGTGAGTACACGATGTCTTCTTCTGCGGCTTCCGCCGGACGAGGCGACATCTGTGCTTTGGTTTTTCTTGTTTTGTTTGTCCTTTTTTCTTGTCTTTTGTTTGGTTTTGCTGATGGAGCTTCTTTCTATCGGTTCAGAAATAAGACCTGTTTTTACAATAGCTCTTACTCGATGGTGGTTTTCTTAGATCTACTTCTAATTGCTCTGATTGGCATTTTTGAGGTCGGGTTTGTAAAGATTGTTGGCGATTTTGCTCATTCTACTCCTCAGATGGTTTTAATTGGCTCTGTTTGGTGGTGGCGTGTTGAGAATGAGAGAGGTAGAAAGCTTTCTGTCCATTTGGTGCTATTGCTTGCTTGGTTGGTGGTCAGGTTTTCCCTTCCCTCTGCTGTTTCTCCTTTGCCTTTGTCTATGGATGTTTCTGCGACAATGGGTTTCTCCTATTCTTGCGATAAAAGGGTTGGGACCTAGCGGGTGGTTCTCTGAACCCCCACCCCTTATGGTGGTCTTGTTGCCACTAGCGGCATTTTTCTCTGTCATGGGCTTTGATGCGGTGGTACAGCGACATGGAAGGTCGGCTCATTGCTCCCCTTGTTCTTTGTTTACGATTAGCATTTGTGACTGTGGGCTTAGTTATTTGGGCTGTGTTTTTTTGGGTTTCTGTTTTTTTTCTTGTAAGTCTTTTTTTTTGTTAATGGGTACTTTTCCCTGGTCAAGAAAAACATAAGTTGGAGCACTTTTTTTCTTCCTTCTGTTGCATCTTTAATTTTCTTTTCTCAATTTTAATCGCATTGTTCATTTGTTTTTAAAATTTGATGGGATCTTATTGGTGGAGGTTGGGATTTGGAAGACAGGGAGGAAGGCCCTAAGATTCTAAATCTATTTATGACAAATTCATTGTAGGAGTCGAATTCATAAGCTTTTGAAATGGTGATTGAGTAGCTTAAGCCCAAGTGACGTTATTGTCTAATTAATATTGGACATCGATAAACCACCTTTTTATTTTCTATATAAACTGAAAAGTGTTAATTATTTAAGTCTAAAGTGAAGCCAAATTCATAAATAATAAAACTAATAGAAAAATTAATTCTTCTTTGAGGCTTTAACCACTCACATAAAGTTTTTGTTCTTGTAATTCAAAATTTAGAGGCAGTTTTTCACCGATGAATCGATATTTAAAATTATTTTATTCTGGATTCTTTTCTCTATCAAAATAGCAGATTTCTAAATTCCCATATAATACTTTTGGAATTTCTTTCAAAGGCCGGATAACCAATAATGATATTAATCCAATGATATTGACGTAATACTAGAAAAATAAAAGAGAAGAAACACAATTAATATAAGTTCTTTTTATTCAGGGCGTTAAAATTTAACACTTGCAGTTAAAAATAGGCTAATTTTAAAAGTTGCGACATGGGGTCGAGGGTGCCTCCTTAGTCCTTACCCTCCACTCGTCCCGGCTTCAATACTATTATTCTGAAAAAGAAAATTAGAAAATTAGGGAGTGAAAAATTATTATTTTGCGTATTGAACGAATAGGCTATGAAAGGTTCCTAAAATACCAGTGATGATATCTAAATTACGTTTCTGTTGAAATTTATTTTAAAGTTACATTTTCCCAAAGTAAGTTATACATATATATACACTTTTTAAATATTCATGCCAAATCTTCTACACGATACATATAAGCATATGTTTTGCCGATATAAATATAGCTGTTTATAATTGAATTTTATAGAATATATTATCTTTTTAGCAAATATCAAAAAGGGAAAATAAAAAAAAGCATCAGGCCGCCAGCTGGAAAAGAAAAATCGAGAGGGGGTTCTTCTGGAAGCATTAAACCGACCTCGAAAATACTAGAATTATCCCTTTTGTCCTTTTAAATACCGAATGTATCCAGCGTCTTTTTAATCAGAGCAGCAATAACCTCAGCGATCAAGTGGCAGTCTTTTGTCTCAGAACATCTTACTATTCATCGTTTTTAGATTCACTCAAGCCCGCAGTTCAAAAGATGTCGCTGATCCCAAGTGTTTTTGGTGGTCGAAGGAGCAGCATTTTCGATCCATTCTCGGTCGACATGTGGGATCCCTTCAAGGATTTTCCATTTCCCTCTTCTCTCTCGACTCCTTCTGGGGATAATTCTGCATTCGTGAGCACACGGGTGGACTGGAGGGAGACCCCAGAAGCTCATGTGTTAAAGGCCGATCTTCCAGGGCTGAAGAAGGATGAGGTGAAGGTTGAGATTGAAGATGACAGGGTGCTTCAGATAAGCGGAGAGAGGAACGTGGAGAAAGAAGACAAGAATGACACATGGCACCGCGTCGAGCGAAGCAGCGGCAGATTCATGAGGAGGTTCAGGCTGCCGGAGAATGCTAAAATGGATCAGGTGAAGGCTTCCATGGAGAACGGCGTGCTCACTGTCACCGTTCCTAAGGCAGAGGTTAAGAAGGCCGATGTTAAAGCCATCCAGATTTCTTAAAAGAGAATGCCATTGTAGTATTCTTTGCTTCTTCTTCCCCCCCCCCCGGGTAATGTATGTGTGGAGTTGGAACTGAGAAGTGAGAGAGTGTCTATGTTTGTGTGCAGTGTGTTTCTGAGAGTTATTACCTTTGGAATGGATCGGGAAAAGACTGTCGTTTGTAATACTATAAATAATCTGTAAAATTGGTAGTTTTGTGGTTGGGGAATAAATAATATAGAGCGTCATTTCCTTGTTGTAATTGTTCTCCAATCTGTGTTTTTGCCTGAGTTTTTCACAGTCCAGTATTTCCCGAGCATGGATGCGGGAAGCTTGCTTCATTGAGTCTGTAATGGGACACAGCGTGGTCTTCTGAAAAGCGGCATCTTGCGTTGCCGGGCGAATTTGGGGGGCATTCTGTCCATAGTTTCTTTGCTTCCCTAAGAACTTAAATTGATTTCTACTGAAGTTTGACTGAATTGGATAATTGATTCTCCTATGGTCTTAAGATCTGATAGGTTGAGAATATTAATCATAGTAGTTAATATTTTTTCAAACGTTTTAATAATTTTTCTTAATTCTTTCACTCACTTTCTTATTTAATTATTATTAAAAAAGGATAAACATATAAAATAAGTATTATATATAGACTTAATATTAATTTTCACACTAATAGATTAAAGTGGGCATTCCAAATACGTTACCCATAATGGAAGTAAACATGTTAGTAACAGACCTCCTTCAAAAAAAAGTCTAAAAGATAAGCTACATAAGCAATAAAAAAGGGGAACGAATAAAAGGTCTTTTGCTTTTTTCCGGAGAAAATACAATAGCTATATGAAGCTCGCACTATCAGGAAAAGAATGCAATAAAAATTTATTGGGAAAATTATTAATAAAAAAATCTCATTCAATTTGGTGTTTTTTTGGCCCTTTTATTTGTGACTTCATGTTGTCTAATTTAATTTCCTCATGAGCACTGCCAGTGCCCTTTTCTATCTGAAATTACCTCAGATGAATCTTTATTATATTTTCTTCTATGAAAATCAGATCAACTTTTTTTAAAGTTCAATATTCATACAATATAATATTTGCTAGTTTACAATAGTTTAAATTCTTTTTAAATTTTACGGGATATTTTTCAATCATAAATGTTTTGATAAATCACTTGCATCTTATCAACATTGCAGTGCACATATTTTATCCTATTCCTATTTAGGTAAAAAATTTTAAAAAATATTCTAGAAGCTGGAATGCTGAGAAGAAGGGGAAAAAATGAACCTAGAATCAAAACGTTTGGAAGATTATGAATCCTAAAATTAAAATTCCAACTCCATCATAAAAAAATAAAACACCGTTGACTATCTTTAAACTACGTCTCCTTTTTTCCCTACAGGTAGGGGACGAGCAAACACCCAATCATCCAATCATTAGTCATATTAGTCATATGATATCTGGAAGTAAAGTAATAGGAGCTGGGTTTAGCTTCTCATAATGTGACGTGCTGAATTAAGATTTAAATTTTTAATAGAAAGAGTATTTATGTTTAATATTTGATATTATTTGAAATAAGATTATCCAGATATATTTTAGACTTTTATTAGCAAGCCAGTTCGTTACGAAGCTCCGTTCTCTGAAAGTATGAGAGAACAGGAGCTGCATACTTCTATGAGCATCACGCAGCCGACAATGAATAATGCAATAGCATCTTACCGCAGTGACAGAGCCCCCTTTCCCCACAACTTTATGAATACCAAGTTCCTGGGCTAATTTAAGCCCAAAAATGGCTCCCCAGAGCCCTGCGATCAAAGCATTAGAGTTTCCTTCTTTATAGAGCCACCTATCCACTCGCTGCTACTGCCACGAAGCACTTCTCCACGCCTCACCACACCTGGGCAGCCTTTGCCAACTCCGTCGAAGCTTAGTTTTGACCATCCTCCAGGAGGAAACACCCACTTCACATATTTGACTTGCTTGCATAAACCATTGTTGTCATATTTTTTTTGCCAGTATGCCACATTCAAACATATGCTTCTTGATAATCATGTCAGGGCTTGTGGGCAGACAAAATCCTTCCTCAAATAAAGCACTGTTCCTCCAGTTCTATAATCACTGCTCTTCAGATTGTGTATAAACCACTCTATCATATTATCATTAAAGAACTGCACATTAGAGTTGGCTATCCCCAGGTCATTCCTAATTTTTCTCAACACAGGGCACTCTCTTAGAACATGACTCAGATTCTCAATATCAGCTCCACCTCTCAAACATTTTTGTTCTCTACCAAATAACCTATTTTGTGCTGCAGCTGTACGGAGCCTGCCATGAATGGCAATCCGTACGAAAACCTGTATACGTCTCGGAACCTTCAAATTCCACACCAATCTCCGAATACAATCCCTGCACTCTAAATTACATCTCTACCAAAACTCATCCTGAAGTTGCATTTTTCCTGGTGGGCTGTTTTTTAAGCAGGTCCAAATAGGATTTACTTTTTTTATTTTTTATACCCTTAATTATCATTACATTATATAAATAAAACAATAAATGTAATTTAATTGAGTTTTCTAAAATATTTTACATTTTTGGTAGACAACAAGATCACTCTGTGGTTGAATCTTCTCTTTTTCTATTTTTTTTTTTAGGTGTTGTGGGTCCAGTCCCCAGCTCGGATGATAATCTGGATTCTTCCAATCGGTACCAAAGCATCAAGACGTTGGCTGGAAAAGTAAGATCGCGAAATACTGGGGCCCTTCTGGAAATATCAAAAACCGACCTCAAAATACTAGATTTCTCCCTCCATTCCTTTTAAATGGCCGATGTATCGGCAATGGTGAGAAGCATAATCGTAATCAACTTCAGCGATCAAGTCGTGTGCGCACTTTCTCCTATCTTCAATTGTTATACACATTCACGCTCTACGATTAGAAGATGTCGTTGATCCCGGGTGTTGTTGGTGGCCGAAGGAGCAGCATTTTCGATCCATTCTCTCTGGACGTTTGGGACCCCTTCAAGGATTTCCCTTTCCCCTCTTCTCTCTCAACTTCTTCTCAGGATAATTCTGCGTTTGTGAGCACTCGGGTGGACTGGAAGGAGACCCCAGAAGCGCATGTGTTCAAGGCGGATCTCCCAGGGCTGAAGAAGGATGACGTTAAGGTTGAGATCGAAGATGACAGGGTGCTTCAGATCAGCGGAGAGAGGAACGTGGAGAAAGAAGACAAGAACGACACATGGCATCGCGTTGAGCGAAGCAGCGGCAAATTCATGAGGAGATTCAGACTGCCGGAGAATGCCAAAATGGATCAAGTGAAGGCTTCCATGGAGAATGGGGTTCTTACTGTCACTGTTCCGAAGGAAGAGGTGAAGAAGCCTGAAGTTAAGGCCATCGAGATCTCTGGTTAAGAATAAACGACATTCTCTGGTTTCTTTTCTGGTTTTATATTGACGAGTTTTTATCCGTCACATTAGAAGTATCGGTTTTTATGCTTGTAAAATAGAATGTTCGTCTCAATCGTTACTTTAAGAGCGGACAAAGAAAGAGACTGTGATCTGTCATATAACTTGTCCGTGTAAAGTTACTTGTGAGTAATGATGAGTGTGGTTTTGGATAAGATATAAACTTAATTTCCTTTAGTTCTTGTTCGATAAAATCCGTCGACGTCTTTTTTTCCCTTGCATTACCCAACAACTGACGCGAATTCGAGCGTCACAATCAGAGTTTGGATTGAACATTAAAGAAGGTCGATGGGTAATTGCAGAGTGTTCTTGTGTGGTGCATCTGGAAAGTGCGTCTGGACCTTTGAGAAAGCAGGGAGTGAGAATGTAGGTGTAGCAGGCAGATTTCACAAATTTGTGCAGACGTACTTCACTAATATGCGTACATGGCCTTTCTTCTGGTGGCAGAAAACGTAATCAATGTTAGAGATGAAAACATGACCTTAATATTATTTTTTCCGAATTTTTTGTTTTTATTTTAATTTGAACAAGTCATATTCTCTCGTTATCTATCTTAATACGTGGAAAGTGAAAAATATATTCCCTGCCAAAATTTGACCCGCACTAGAATAATTTCATCTCTATTGTGCGAGTATTTCAAGTAAAGACTGGTAAATCGATAATCAGTGATCAAATAACAGCTTTGATGATTTCATATTGTACAGTGCTATTGATTGCGTGGGAAAAAAGGGAGAAGAATTTAACAGAACGTGTCAATATACTGAAATATTGATAAACAATGATAGATAAAATAGGTAGTTATCTAATAAAATCATTTTTTGGCATGTAAACTTCCCTTTTTACAGTGTAAGTTACACTACAAAAAGGATTTTATATTTAAGATATGAAGAGTATATCTGAAACGAGAATGAATATTGTTGTGAAAAGGAAAAAACTGTAATGAGTGCGTGATTAACAGAGTTCAAATCATTTAGCAAAAAACCAAAAAAAAAGACGGAGTTCAAATCATAGCTTAACTCCATCTTTCCATATTCCTAAGAATTTTTTAGATTCTTTTTTCTTATATAGGAAGTTAAAGAACGGTTTTGCCTGGGCGCCCGTGTAAGAGTCAGGTCACTAATTAATTCGATCATCTGACATCGGAAATTATGGCTTCGGTTTGAAGCAGGTCACTCGTGTTCGGTCATAGTATCTCAATGCCAATTATTTTGGGTTGAGATAAAAATGTATCGAGACAGGATTTTGGTCCAGTTCTGTCCTGATATTTTATTTTTATAATTTTATGAATTTATTTTATTTATTATTAATAGAATAATATTATAACATTATAATTATGTTGTTCGCAACTTTTATATGGGTAATGTGATGTATTTTAGGAGATATTTTGAGTTTATATATTTTTCAGAGAGACATTTTTTTTTGTTAGTTTTTTTATTACTATCAATTTTTAACCAATTTTTATATATTTTCTTTATAAAATTGTTAGTTTGAGTTTTTATGATGTAAAACATAATTGGTTTTGAACTAAAAAATTCAACAAAAGGAAAAGATAGTTGGGATGGGACACGGGATGAAGAGGTCATCCCATTTTGGTTATTAGGGCGGGATTGTCCCAATTTGTCTCATAAATAATTTAATTTTAAGATGTGAGAATTAAAAGAAAAGACTATTTTCTGTGAATAGATGCTTGGTATTCTGAATTCTATAGCACAACAGAGCAATGTCCCTATTAAAGTAGTAAAAACGAAACAATATTACCAACACGCGTTAATTTAGTCAACGCTGGCCTTTTAGTTGGAAGCCAAAAATGTCTGTTGACTGTCACAAAAATCACAAGAGTCTGTATGCTTCAACATCATATAATTCGAGTTTGTAATAACCTTTCTATTTACAATTAAAATATTATTTTGAATCTTTAACATAAGAGTTGAATAATTAATCTGAAAAGATTAATAAAATTGGTTAAGTTGGATACTTATTACACATGTGTATTGATTTTTCTAAATTATTTTATTTAATATGTACGTTAAAATTAACTCTTAATAAAAAATAAATTTTTTTACAATTAATAAGATTATTTTGAAAAAATACTATAAATTTCATAGACAAGTTGGATTAAGTCTTGTATTTAAAATTAAATCTAATTCTCAACGAGTTTTTAAAAGGTTATAGCTAATAAATTAGATTATGAGATTACATGATTATATCAATGCATAGATTTTTCAGCCTTGAAATATGTTTTATGACAACCACTTGAATGCGTTGGCAACTGCAAATAAGATAAAGGTGATGTCAGGTCAAAAAAAAAAAAGAAGGTGAAGAAGTAAACACAGATTATTTCAGGGCCCAAAAAGACATAAAAGAAACTCGGTCGACAATTAATTGGGCTTATTGCCTCATATACAAAATAATCTCGATTCTTCCACATTTTTCTATGGACGGGTCAAGCTCGAAACTCTCCTAGTCTAATCGCATGATAAGCCTTTAAAAAGAAAAAGAAAAACCATATTGAAAGTACCTATACTTTTTCTCAATTTTTAATTTGGTACCTATGTATTTTTTTTCCTTTAATTAAACATTTAATTTTATCTTTTTAACAACATTAACTCTTATAACTTTGTTCTATTGATATTTTTAGTCTCTATATAAGGATTAATGATGTTAATAGAGGAAAAATAAAGATTTAGTTAAGAAAAAAAACACATAGGTATCAAATTAAAAATTAAAAAAAAGTATAACTACCTCCAATATAGTTTTCCCAAAAGAAAAATCTGGAAAAATGTAGGTCTTTCCGGAAAATCTCCTCCCATTGCTTTAAATAGCTGATGTATCCCGTCCGTGACCTGTACAGAAACGTCACTACTTTGAGAAATCAAGCAGCAATCCCAAGCAATTTCTACTCTTTCCTCCTGATATAATCCTTGCTCAAGGTCGAAGATCGGAAAATGTCGTTGATTCCAAGTTTCTTCGGTGGTCGAAGGAGCAACGTATTCGATCCTTTCTCCCTCGACGTTTGGGATCCCTTCAAGGATTTCCCTTTTCCTTCTTCCCTGTCAACCACCGCGGGGGATAATTCTGCATTTGTGAGCACACGGGTGGATTGGAGGGAGACCCCAGAAGCGCATGTGTTCAAGGCGGATCTTCCAGGGCTGAAGAAGGATGAGGTGAAGGTTGAGATCGCGGATGACAGGGTGCTTCAGATAAGCGGAGAGAGGAACGTGGAGAAAGAAGACAAGAACGATACATGGCACCGCGTCGAGCGAAGCAGCGGCAGATTCATGAGGAGATTCAGGCTGCCGGAGAATGCTAAAATGGATCAGGTGAAGGCTTCCATGGAGAACGGTGTGCTTACTGTTACCGTTCCTAAGGCAGAGGTTAAGAAGGCCGATGTTAAAGCCATCCAGATTTCTTAAAAAGAATGGTAATCAGGGTTTTTGTGGGTTTGTTTTGGAGAATATGCATGTCTTTGTAAGTGCTGAATCGTCTATGTTTGTAAAATAGTGTGCTCTGCAATAAGGTGTGTCTTGAAAGGAGAGCGTCCTGTAAGCTTTGACGCGTGTGTGTCTGTGTAAATTTACATGAGTCTTGATCTGTGTTATTGTAATAAAGTGTGCCTTTTTTGTTATCTTTGATTTGTTGTTTTTGCTTGACTTCGTTTAATGTTTGATGTCTAAGCAATTCAAATTCTGCGCTGTAAATGAAAAATGCTTGTCTATCATGGAATGTTTAGATGAGTTGGAGGTCCAAATTGCATTTCACTCTGAAAAAGTTTCGAACTCAATCTTGCTAATATCCCAGGGGTTAAGACGCAAAAGGTTCAAACGCTATTTTCAGATTGCGGAGGCAAGTGAGTGATTTAATATGTTTCCATTTCCTGTTTTTGCGTGCTTTCAAGCTTCAGTGTGTGGAGTTGTCTCCTCTCTCTTCATATGAGAACACGTCGACGCATTAAAGCGTCTTCCGAAAATTCTCAGCTTAAAGGATCAGTTCATCTGCGTGGGAAGTGGGCCTTCTCTAACCTACATTTGAAGGGCGAGTCTGAAATTCGAACTGGCCAACAAAAAAAGAAACTACATAATCAAAAAGGTTGAATTAGAGTGGCCAAAAATTTTAACTTTGAAGTCTTCAACCATTTACGTACCCTAAAAAATGTCACTCATTTGAAATGCCTTCACTTCCACGTAGGTAATTAGATGAGCACACGTGATATAGGGATTATAGATATAACTTGTTAAAGCGGATGGATCATTTGTTAAAATCAGATAAAAATTTTGTGAAATTGTCGAAACCAAAAGCAATCATTTAAAACCGCATGAATTAAAATTAAAAGACCATAACAGCAACTCCTCGAGAACATAGAGGAATATTCTCTGAGAAAAATATGAGAGTGCGTACTTGTTTTTCATAAGGCACTTGCCGAAAAAGATCAATCACCGACGCTGCTGGGCCCTGCATTATAGAACCAACTAGCACCGTCTTGAACTCGTTTGAGGGATGGCCGACCTTAAAAAGCCTCATAGCCACGATAATCTCAAGCGTTGAAATTAGGCGCTGCTTACTAAATCAGCAAAAACAAAAGATTTAAGTCTGATGAAATAAGTTAATTTTTTATTTGAATTCTTGTGGGAAGAGACGTCTGTAAAAAATGTTGGCTAATAATATCTTGAATTGGATTGGATTGTTATCCCTGCTAAAAGAGAATATTTATAATTTTTTTTTAAAAAAGCTTTGCATCCTTCTTCCAGCACAGTACGTAGAAAATTTCTGGTTTTTGTGCGTTGCTCTTTCGAATCCTTTCCATTAACACCGGCTGTTGCTTCATTTTCATTTAGGGTTGCTTTTTATATCTTCTTTGAGTTTATTTGTTAGTCATCCTTTTAAAGCAATTTTTCAAAGCCTTATTTTAATGATTTCTGGTTCTTCATCCGGAAAAGAGAAAAGAAAAAACTGAAGCTGAACCCCCCACCTAGAACCTGAAAAGATTTGGATGGAAGTATGTAACATCAATGAACAATCAATATATCAACATTAATTTGTCATTGTGCATACTCAAATATATGATTATTATCAATTCAAAAGGCATGAATAATCTAACTTTTTTTCTTATAATTAAACTATTAAAACGTCAAAATGATATGGTGTGCTTCAAGAAATTGGAAATTTTGGCAAAAAAAAAATAGAACCGTATTGAACATATGATAAATTGACATATATACGCGCACGCGCACACACACATGTATGTACCTATGCATGAGAGTGAAAGTACTCAAGATAAGGTTTTGCTTTCAAATTTTCATAATTTAACCTTAAAGGGCTCCCAATTGAACTTCAAACTAAAAATTATCTTCATACATAAGCTCCCTCTGAATATTCAAATATTACTATTTAAATTTTTATGCCTAATTATATTCTATTTTAGAAGTGTAAGTCTGTAAGATAACATTAATTACTACTTTCTTGGGTGAAATAACAGTAATTACTATTTTTTTTTCCAATTATGCACTCACATCCACTGATTTCAATTTTTTGATTAGGGAGTACGACAGATAATTAAATTATAGAGAAAATAGTTAAAATAAATTTAAGGACATATTGTATTAGAAAATGAAATTAAAACTTGGTATATTAATGGCTTTGATAGGATCATACCACATGGATGTCTGAAACTGTTCTTCAAATGTTAACATTTTCAATCAATATTCAATTACATTTATTATTTTTTGGCTCGATAACAGGGGGACCCTCAAGCTTAAAACTCTAATTGAACCTAGACGTGGTGTTGCAACACAAGCAATATAGATCTTTAATAATCCCTTAGAACGATCCCCATATCATGAGTGGTGAATTATTATAAGTTGTACCGGCATAAATATACTTATTACCCATAATTACTTTTTTTTTTTTTGCTAAAATATTGGTATTTTTTTTATTAAAAACAATCCTATTAGAGAAGCACTTCTTTCAATAAGGATTCTTTTTCTCTCCCTAAAGCACAGGTATCCTCTTATTGGAGGTAATCCTATTTGAGGCACTGTCAGACACTAAATATCGGTACTTCTTCCTATAAGGATTCGAATCTTAATTCGTCACATTACGAGATATTAGTCAATATTCTCGAATTCCCGCTACTTCACTCTCAAATAAGGATTCTGATTCGCTACATTCGTTTATAATCACTCATTAATTTAAAAGCACCCCAAATCACTTTTTGGACCCGGGGCCAACATCGCCAGCATCCAAAGAGATGGGCTTTAGAGTTATGTGGATTCGATTCTGGACACTTCCATGGAGGTCGGTGGACGCTGGCCTTGAACATTCCCAAACATTCTCGAATTCCCACTACTTCACTCGCAAGTCCGAGATTTCTCCTTCCATCAATTTAAATACCCAACCTGTCCCTTGTCCGTTGCGTCAAGGAAGAACGCGATCGAGAGCATTTGCGAGTTGCAGTACTGGTATCTGTTGGAATATTTCTTGGTTCGTTTTCACTCTTAAAAGCTAAAAATGTCATTGATTCCCAGTTTCTTCGGGGGCCGAAGGAGCAGCGTCTTTGATCCCTCCTCTCTCGACGTCTGGGATCCTTTCAAAGATTTTCGTTTCCCCTCTTCTCTGTCAACTTCTTCTGGGGATAATTCTGCATTCGTGAGCACACGGGTGGATTGGAGGGAGACCCCAGAGGCGCATGTGTTTAAGGCGGATCTCCCAGGGCTGAAGAAGGATGAGGTGAAGGTTGAGGTCGAAGATGACAGGGTGCTTCAGATCAGTGGAGAGAGGAACGTAGAGAAAGAAGACAAGAACGACACATGGCACCGCGTCGAGCGAAGCAGCGGCAGATTCATGAGGAGGTTCAGGCTGCCGGAGAATGTTAAAATGGATCAGGTGAAAGCTTCCATGGAGAACGGTGTGCTCACTGTGACTGTTCCTAAGGCAGAAGTTAAGAAGCCCGATGTTAAAGCCATCCAGATTTCTGGCTAAAACAAGGAATGCATCCTACTGTTTTCTGTGTTCGTATTCGACGTTGTGTTAATTTGTCTTAGTATAGAAGGTTCATGTCTGCATAATAGGGTGTTCTGCTTTCCGGTGTGGATGGAAAAAAAAAAAACAGAGGATGGAAAAAAAAAAAACAGAGGATGGTCGTCTATTCTATAATATGTTATATGTGCCTGTAAGCTTAACTTCAATAAATGATTTCATAACGTTGCTTTTGGACGTAATTGCCTTTTCTCTTAACACTTCAGCGATTAAGTTCATGAAAGTTGATCTTGGTCTATGGATTCTTTGCAAGCAAGCTTTGCAATACATTGTCACTGGCCCAAAAAAAGTCCTTAGAATACGGTCGTGGTGCGTTAGTACGGAATCAATCGAGATGTTCATAATTTGGTATTAGTAATCTAACTTCCTCTGCTTTCCCCTCAAGTTCCTCCATGTGATGAAGGCATGGTCGCATGCAAAATTGGGTTGTTTTTCACACCCTATGTTTGCAGTAGTGTGCTGACGGGAGGTTGATTGCGCTTTTGGGTTGTTTCCATAGTTTTGAGATATGTATCCATTTGTGCTTTGTTGGAGAGAAGCCTCTTTTGCGTGCTTTGCTTAAACGAAAAACTTTAAGTAGCGGGTCCCCTTTATAAAGTTGCACCGCAGACAAGTACAAAAAATAAGATGGGATTTGCATATTGTAGAGAGTTAAAAAAGGGTTTGCTTTTGCTTTCATTTGTTGTACTTGGTCAAGTGATATTAAATGGGTATTCACTAATTTTGGTGATTAGGGATCGGCTAGATAAGCAACGCGGTGATAACTGCTGACGACCTAAATACTTACACGAGTGGTGAATTCTACTGTCTTCTGTGTTCGTTTTCGACGTTGTGTCACTTTGTCTTAGTATAGAAGGTCAATGTCTGCATAATAGGATGTTCAGCTTTCTGGTGTGGATGGAAAAAAACAGAGGATGGTCGTCTATTGTATAATATGTTATGTGTGCCTGTAAACTTAACTTCAATAAATGATTTTGGAGTGAAATAGATTCATAATGTTGCTTTTGTAATTGCTTTTTCTCTTAACACTTCAGCGATTAAGTTCATGAAAGTTGATTTGCAAGCAAGTTTTGCAATACATTGTCATTGGTCCAAAAAGAAGACCTTAGAATACGGTCGTAGCGCGTTAGTATGAAATCAATAGAGATGTTCATAATTTTGAAGGCATGGTTGCATGCAAAATTGGGTTGTTTTTCACCCCCTATGTTTGCAGTATCGTACCGCCGCGAGGTTGATTGCACTTTTTGGGCTGTTTCGGTAGTTTTGAAACGTATCCATTTGTGCGTTGTTGGAGAGAACCCTCTTTTTCGTGCTTTGCTTAAACGAAAAACCTAAAGTGGCGGTCCTCTCTATAAAGTTGTACTGCAGACAAGTACAAAAAATAAGATGGGATTTATGTATATACACAGAAAATAATATGGGATTTATATAAAGTTAAAAAGGGGTTTGCTGTTATTTTTTGTACTTGGTCACCTGATATTAAATGGATATTCACTAATTTTGGTGATTAGGGATCGTCTAGATAAGCAACGTGGTGATGACTGATGACGACCTAAATACTTACACGAGGATTGAGGAACGTCAGTGTCCAGAATTACGGAAATGTTTTTTTTTTTTTTTCCGTTGGCCAATTTAAGAGTTAAGAACATTTGTTCTAGAAGTTTTCATTTGTATTTTTGAAAACTTTTGGTGGCCGGCACTTATAGGTGAAAACTTCTTGAATAATTTTGCATTTTAGCGCATAATTTAATAACATCAATATACATAGAGAGAGGCAATTATGTCAGACATTCCGGAGAATATTAGGTTAGGATTCGTCGCTTAATTTAGACAGGAGCCCCGAGTCAAGCTATTGATTTAAGCACTCGTATATTCTCAATATCTTAAATTTGTTTCAGCTCATATTGCAAGTTGGACGAGAGTAACAATGAGAGATTGTTCGGATTGGGTCAAGCGAGGCTAAGGTTACTTAAGAAGCCTGAGGTTGTAAGGTTTAGAGAGTTCTAGGTAATTAAGAAACCCTTATGGATTATTGGATAAGGTTACGTGCCTTTCGCAATCACGCGTTGGTTATTGGTTAATTGTTGATAAACATTGTGTCACGTGGTGATTGGGAACTAGCTAGCGCATGAATAAGAACCACATAAAAAAACACAAGTGGGAAGTGGATCCCTGCTTGTGTCATTAACTGAATCTCCAATCACATGACCTTCACCAAAATGTTCCTCCCTGCTCATCTCAGACCATAAATTTCTTTTGATTTCTCCCGCGATTGCTATAAGCAATTCTGAATCAAAATTTTCGTCGTCCTCCGATCGCTCTTTTTCACATTCTTGGCCTGGAAGATTGTGTCGTACTCGTAACGAAAGCTTCTAATTATGAAATTTAGGAGAGCAGATCATATCACCTGCACGTTCCAGATAACTGGAAACTTTGAATTGAATTCAGTACCCTCTTGATCGATAGTTTATCAGCCAAATGCTAAACGCATATATATATATTGAAGCTAGTATGACAATATGAATAATTACGGTGCAGAGCTTTCTCAAATTTATTGTTCATGCTACCTACAAATAAATATAGATTCCTTTACAAAACGGTGACGGCTACATCATAATCTATGTAATTAAAGAATCTGGTGTGCACATTGGAGCTAGTTTCTGCAGATCATTTTATCTTGTCTTGTTCACTTTACCACACAGTAAATCCCAAGAAACTGCAATGAAGCGTAAGAGAACAGTCAGTACCCAGGAAGGGGACGAATTGATCAGTAGAACCTGATATAGATATAAATTGCAGAAAATTAGCCGAAGCCAAAATGAAGAAGGCTGAGCGGATGAAGAAGAAAGAGGACCTGAGAGAGCGAAGAGAGAGGTGTGGGGAGAGAAGGTGGAATAAGAAACTAGCTCCATGAATAAAGAGAACGAAGCCAGTACAAGTCAGCAGGATCAGCGCCAACATGATGATGCAGTTTCCTTGTACAGGCAAGCTGGTGAACAAGGAGGAGGGAGGGGAAGGAGAAGCTGTTTCAGAAGAAGAAATGAAACAGAGGAGACAGAAACTGGTAAGGCCTTTGACTTAGTCCAGAGGATGAAATATAATATAGAGAAGGGTTGGCATAAACAAGCCATTTAAAAACGAGATTAAGAAGAAGCGGCGGGTTAGAGAAGAGAATACGTCATCGTTTCAATCCCACCTGCCGTTCGTAGATGGTAATTGGTTCACGGCCGAGGCTGGTCGGTGACGCCCACGTGAATCAATATTATTCTGTGAAATACTACTCATTGCGGATTCTCCACAAATTTATATTTTGATGAACAAAATCACAAACCATTTTCATGTGAAATTTAATTCAGGTATAAGTTAGGATTAAATATAGGGTTAACGTGCAGTTTTAATCTCAATTTTATTTTTCAGGTGCAATTTTGTTTCTGATCTTTTAGTGGTGCAATTTTGACTCTAAAAGCAACATTGCATCCAAAGATTAGAGACAAAATTGCACACAAAAAAGTTTAATGGTAAAAGTGTACCTGAAAAATAAAATCAAGAGGCAAAATTGTATCACTAAAGAATAGGAACAAAATTACATTTAAAAAATAAGATCAGGACTAAATTACACCTTAACATTAAAATATATATATTTAATAAAGATAAGGTCAATTGGAGGGGAATATAGTGCACCTGAGGCATTATTTATTTGGTCTTATCAGGACAACGACTAACTAGGTGACTGGTGACATCCCTTGCACGCTTGGATGAGGCGCATGTTTATTTAGGCAAGCAACTTCACAATTTTAATTGACCATCTCGCAAGCATGTATTATTGCATTAAGACAGATCCCATGTCACTTGCATAATTTGGAAAATCTTTTATCTTATAATCGGATAACTTGCTCTCTTTTTGCTGGGGAAAAAAATTGCTCAACATCCGCTGAAATCCTGTTGTTTTATTTTATTAATTGTAGCATAATAAATTAATGAATGAATGTAAACAAAAACCTTAGATAGACTTTATTAAAAATCGAATTAATTAGGACCACATTTAAAGCTCTAGATAAAAGCGCTTACTCAACGACTGACATTCTTTTGGCTCAAAAAAAAGAAAAGAAAAAAAGATGCTGACATTCTCAGTATGGCATAGAATGGAGCCTTTGAACTCCCTTTTGCATGTAAAGTTTTTATTGTCAACTTTTTTTTTGGGTGCCTCAGCACGTTTATGCATTTTTAATAATTTGTTAAAATAATTTTTTAATGATTATTAAAAAGTTCCATTAATAACTAAACAATTTGTAATCACAAATTTTATAGCAAAAAATGACAATTTCTAACTTTTCATTAAAATATTTTAGTAATTATATTTCCTTTTTGAGACCTCATTGTAATTTTCTCTAATTTTAACTTACTTTTTGTGGTGTATTACTAAAAACTTAATTTTTTGCAAAACTAGTAAATTTGATTGAAATAACTTGAACGCGAGGAAACAATACGTCAAACAATATAATACAAGACAAGCAGATGCATGCATATATTACAAGGAGCATTGACTGACAGCTAAAAAACTAGTTTCCCCTTTTTTGCTTTTTCTTTAATAATGAAAGAAATAATACAATTACGAAGGAGACTCTCTCTCTATAAAAGGTTGGTGTAAATGGACAATTATAACGAATATCTTGAAATCCTTCATCAAGATCCTTAGAATGAATGGGGATTTGCCATTCATTTCTTTAAGAAACTTGCATCTTCCAAATCAGTCGCCTAACAAAGTTGACAGAAACAAATCCTGCACAAACCCAGATCTCCCAGCAGCCTGCCTCATCCTTCTCTCTCGTTTTCATTACTCATCGACGCATCAAAACTACAACAGTTTAAAAATATGAAACAAGCATGTTAGGTTATGGGCACAGACTCATTCAATAAATTCGAGTTGGCCTTAAAGTGCACAGGCATAGTGGGACGGGCTTCAATTCAAGTCAT